TTGCTGGACCTGGGTTAATCTGAAAAGATCAACTAGTTGTCTCTAGAGTTTAGTTCTCTAGAGCTCTTCTGCTTCAGTTTTGGTCACCAGGATACAAAAGAGATGCTAAGACTCTAGAAAATGTGCAGAGAAGAGCAACCAAGACGATGAAGGGCCTAGAGGCTAAATCATATGATGAACAGTTGAGGGGAGTTAGGTATGTCTAACCTATGAAACAGAAAGATTGGGGCGGGGCATGATAGCTGTCTTCCAGTAATTGAGGGGCTATCACAGAGAAGAAAGGATTGACTTATTCTTCAAAGCACCAGAGAGCAGGAAAAGAAATAACGGGTGGAAGCTTGTTAAAGAGAGATCCAATAGAGAAGTTAGGAGAAATTTTCTGATAGTGAGAACGAGGTCCCTTCCAGTCCTGTGATTCCAAGTTCTATTTGTAACCCAGCATTTAGTTGTGCCAGTATCTCAGGGAGAGATGGATGCCACTTTAGCGATCATCTGAATGTAGACACCCTAGTACCTACCTTGTGAGAGAACTGTCAAAGAAGCTTCAGTCATGCTGATATAATAGACCATTTCTTTCTGCAAGTAATAATGGAAGGAGAGATAAAGGTTTTGTAGCATTTTTTAATCCCAATGACTTTTTAGGGAATTAGCTTGGATTCATGCATCACATTATGCCTTTATATTTTTCAAGGCTGATCATGTGTGCCCAGCACTTTCACTGCTACCTCATGCTGGCTTCATATGGCTAGTTTCATTCAAGCTTAGCATGTTATGTGAATCTCCAACCAATGTAATTTATAAACTATAGGAATGTAGAAGTCTGCGTGAACCCAACTGATTGTGCTTTACTCTGCAAATTACAGATAAGCAAAATGTGTTTTACTATTTATTTACACCAGTTTATTATTTCTTTATGGCAAATTCTTTATGCCACCTATTCATCAGATTCAACAAGCTACAGGTAATCCTCAATTTACAACAATTCATTTAGTGACCGTTCAAAGTTACAATGGCACTGAAAAAAGTGGCTTATGACCATCTTTCTCACTTATGACCGTTACAGCACCCCCGTGGTCACGTGATCAAAATTCAGACGTTTGGCAATCAGTCCATATTTATGACGGTTGCAGGGTCCTGGGGTCAGGTGATCCCCTTTTGTGACCTTCTGACAAGTAAAATCAATGGAGAAGAAAGATTCACTTAACAATCGTGTTACTAACTTAACAATTGCAGTGATTCACTTAACAACTGGAGCAAGAAAGGTCCTAAAATGGGGCAAAATTCACTTAACAGTTGTCTCACTCAACAGAAGTTTTGAACTCAGTTGTGGTCATCAATTGAGGACTACCTGTGCATAAAGCATGGCTTATAGTCCACAGTGACTAGATTCACATATCACGCTGAGCCTCGTAAAGATTGAAGATAAGGAACAGATTCACCTCTGCAAGGTGACATCCTGAAGCAAATGCCACTATTGTGTGTTTCTGATGTGTGAAGCAGGTACATAAATTATGGCATTTCTGCAAATTCAAAATGCAGCATACATGACCTCCATACCTGGCACACCCAGGGTTGCACACCCAGGATTGCACGCCTGTAACAAATAAAGCCCAAAGTAAACCACCATATTAGAGCTTAACGTGAGAGTGAATTCGAGTCTTTTTCTTAAATCGACGTCTGCATTCATATCACATCCTTCGCCAGATTGGGGAAGGTCTTTTCAAATGCTTTGGCTAAACGTGATTAAGACCAATCTTTTTCTCTCCACCTTCTTTGTATAAAAACCAATCCATTTGGTGGGTTCATGATTCCACGTTTCACACAACTCAGAACAAAGGTTAATTCAGCAGTCTGATTATAGGTATTTATTTATTTATTTATTTTGGAAAATTGATGTAGCCACTTACTCGCTCACAATTTACAGAAAATAAAACAGAATATAGGAAAAAAATAAAAATTATTATTATTGTTATTGTTATTACCCCCCATTGTGTGCATGCCACCAGGTAAGAATATTTATGGTATGGCCAGCTGTTTCTCTTTCCAAACCTTTTCTAGTCTTTTTTCCTTTTTTGAGCGCCAATAAAGAAGGAAAATTAAACAGCACTTAAATACTAGGAATCCAGTAACTCTGATTCTGGTTGGTAAACATGCTTCTTGAGGAAATGGGAGAGAAACTTCATATCTACTCATATTTCAAGGAGCAGATTTGACCTTCCTCTTGTATCATGAAAGGATCGGATTATGCAATGCAGTATCTTTAGCAATACTGGCCATGGAAGGCAGTGGGAAGGATTAGGCAACTCAAAGTTTAGAATAGAGTGGAGTGGAGTGGAGTGGAGTGGAGTGGAATGGAATGGAATAGAATAGAATAGAATAGAATAGAATAGAATAGAATAGAATAGAATAGAATAGAATAGATCAGTGATGGCGAATCTTTTAGAGACCGAGTGCCCAAAATGCAACCCAAAACCCACTTATGCATCGTTGGGTGCCGGGCGGGTGTGGCCCATTGGGTGGCCGTGGCTGCGGTGGTAACGGCAGTCTAGGTGGGACTAAAAAGTTCAATCAATCAATTCCAACTGCAAGATCTTTTTTTTCCCTGCAAGAAGTTGAAATTGACTGATTGATTAAACCACTTTTTTTGTACACAGCAGCAGAGGCCTAAAGCGAAAAGGTTTTATAAAACCCAGCTGAAAGCCTAGGACTGGGGCGACGGCGCGCATGCCCACAGAGAGGGCTCTGAGTGCCGCCTCTGGCACCCGTGCCATAGGTTCGCCACCACTGGAATAGATGGAAGGGACCTTGGAGGTCTTGTAGTCCAACCCCCTGCTCAGGCAGGAAACCCTATACCATTTCGGACAAATGGCTGTCCAGTCTCTTCTTTAAAACTTCCAGTGTTGGAGCATTCACCGCTTCTGGAGGCAGGTTGTTCCACTGGTTAATTGTTCCAACTGTCAGGAAGTTTCTCCTTAGTTCTAGGTTGCTTCTCTCCTTGGTTAGTTTCCATCCGTTGCTTCTTGACCTGCCCTCAGGTGCTTCGGAGAAGGCAGCACAAGAAGCAATGGATGGAAACTAATCAAGGAGAAAAGCAACCTAGAACTAAGAAGAAACAATTTGCACCATTGTTTCGCCACAGCCATTAATGTGCCTCTCAACTGCACAGCCCTTTCTCAGATCTTACTTGAGTGAAATAATACTTCACTTGCAGAGAAGCAAAGAGATAGAACAAACACTAGAAGCTGAGCCTTTATTTCCCGGTTGTCAAACTCGCCACGTCAGGTGACGTATTGCGACTTTTTTTGCACTGCCGGAGCTGGGGTGGGCGCGGCCTCTGTGTGATGCAACCGGCCTGTGGGCCGGCAGTTTGACACCCCTGCTTTATTTGAAAGGAAGGGGGATGGAGAGGTGGGGAGGGGCTTACAGAGCGTATGATGTACAGCGAATTATGTCCATGTGAAAGACAGAGTCTTTTCATTTTTCTCCGATCTGTCATGAAATCTGGAACTGTCCGATACAGGTAGTCCTTGACTTATAACCACTCATTTAGCGACTGTACAAAGGCAGCCCCCAACCTTTTGGGCACCAGGGATGGGTTCCGTGGAGAGAGGTTTTCCCACAGATTGGTGGGGACGTGGTTTCACATGCTGCCTACATCCTGCAGATGGGAGCTTCACTTGTTTGCGTGGACTGGTTTCTGGAATGGCGTGGACCGGTACTGGTCCATGGATCGGAGGTTGGGGACCCCTGCTATAACTGGTCCTCACACAACTGTTGAAGCATCCCTATGGTTACATGATCAAAATTCAGGTGCTTGGCAACTAGCATGTATTTACAAATGGTTGCCGTGTCCAGGGATCATGTGATCGCCATTTGCGACCTTCCCAACCGGGTTCCAGCAAAAGCAGAGCCAATGGGGGAAAGTTTAACAACTACACGAGTCACTTAATAACTGCAAAGATTCACTTAATAACCATGGGTAAAAAAGATTGCAAAATTGGATGCGGCTGACTTAACAACTGCCTTGCTTAGCAAAAGAAAATTTGGTCCCAATTGCAGTCATAAGTCAAGGACTATTTGTAGCCTTGTTATCAGGTTGCACGCGTGTGTGTTGCATACACGCCAATTTTGTGCCTTAGAAACTGACCTAACTTCAGTAAAGCAAAAATAATTATTTACTAATTCATTACTCGTGTTTTCTCTTAGTTTCAAGGCTGCCCAAATCTCAAAGAGTGCAAAGAGTGGGTCAACGGGCAGTGCTAAACTATAGCAAGCTAAGTAAACCAGAACTAGTTGGACTGACATAGATAGTCTAATCTGTGGGGCTAACTATGGTAAAGTAAAGATGCTAGACACAATTGTAACTGAAGTCCCTTGTCTGCTCATGTGTTATTTTTATCTTCTCTGCAGATATTCCAGAGTGGATGCATTTCAACAAGCCACAAATCATGGATTACAACCCTACACTCCCAGAACTAAAGAAAGGCATTATGATTCGGCATAATCCATGAACCATGAGAAATTAAAATAGTGGCGTGGAATTACCACATTAAAAATTGAAAGGAAATCACATGAGGGAAAATTGGAAAGAGAAAAGGTTAAAGTCACAGCAACACAACTATATTTCACTTTGTATGTATTCTGGTTTTCCATATCATATTCTTCCCAGTTTTATGTGATATGCAGAACTGATTCAGTGAATAAAAAACATGGCTTGGTTAAGGGAAGGAAACCACAGCTTAAAAACCTGTTTAATGTTGGCTTGCTAATTCCAAGAAGTGAAAGCTTTGTGGCTTATTCTTACTTTGTTTTTATTCTGTGCCTAAACTTGTAACCAATTCACAAATGTTCAAAGCAAGACTTAGGGAAGCTAGCTATGATCCATTTTCTGTTTGAGAAGGCTGAATTTGCAATGGTTTGGACTTTTTAAATTAAAGATGATGTCTGCATTTATTTTAGCCCCTTCACTGGGGCTGTTGGCATATGCAAGGTGATATAACCATGATCTGAGTACTTCTCTTGAAAGAACATTCTTCTCTTGAAAGAACATGAAAGAACATAAAACTAAAGCCAAGCATTTCACAACACTAAAGTAAGAAGTAGAAAGTCAATATGAATATAACCCTTGTGGTTAGTCTGGCTAGTTAGTTCATTGTGTGTGTGTGTTGCATTTTCTGCCTGCTGGATACACCATTTGGTGTCATAGGAAACTTGACCTAACTTCAGCAAAGCAAAGATAATTACTGAGACCTATAGACGTATCAATTGTATTAATCATGATTTTGTTAACCATGGATTGTGACATGCTCGTTGAGTCATTTCTTTGAAGAGGATTCCAAAGCCCTCAGTTCTCCAATACACAGGTAGTCCTTGACTGACCACAGTTTGAGCCCAAAATTTCTGTTGTTAAGTGTAACATTTGCTAAGTGAGTTTTGCCCTATTTCACGACCTTTCTTGCCACAGTTGTTAAGTGAATCACCGCAGTTGTTAAGTTAGGAACAGGGTTGTTAGGTGCATCTGGCTTCCCCATTGACTTTGCTTGTCAGAAGGTCGCAAAAGGTGATCCAGCAGGCTGCAACCGTCATAAATATGAGTCAATTGCTAAGTGTCCGAATTTTGATCACGTGACCCATGGGGGATGCTGCAACGGTCATAAGTGTGAAAAAATGGTCATAAGTCACTTTTTCAGTGCCGCTGCAACTTTAATGGTCACTAAATGAACTGTTGTAAGTTCAAGGGCTACCTGCAGTGGTGGGATCCAGCCGGTTCGCACCACTTCGGCAGAACCGGTAGCTATTTTTTTTGTTGCCCAGGCCCAGAATGGACTTCCGGAAGTGGCATCCACACACAGAACTGGTTGTTCACATATTTGAATCCCACCACTGGCTACCTGTACCATCTCTGAAGAAAATCTTACCTTAGTAAAAGTAAATTTTACGAAGCCACCTTCAAACGAGATGTTGAGCATTGATTGGCTATATCCGCAATATCCTGCAGTGTGTGTGGCGTTGGGATCAATATTAAAATATTCTAGTTCTCCCTGCAAAATAGGCAAAACACCAATGCATTAATTTCAACAAAGACTGAGAAATTATTATTGCTTACAAATTTAGAGCAATAAATTTGTAAAAAGCTTCATTTTTAGGGTCATCTGACTGGAAGCAGATCGGGGAAGGCTAGATTAAACCCTTTCTGACCATATAAGGGACAGAAACAAGGAAAGGGGGTGGGAGAGCTACACTAGCCACTTACCGTTTTTGTGTTCGTAACCATCATTGTCAAGCCAGTTAAGGCTTTAATGCAATCTGCAGTTCCGTTGGAAACACTGTAAGTGCCCGTCATAGCTGGTGATGGTTGAAGTGCCAATCTTGGTCCAGTTTGACTTGTTGGTACAGGCGAAGTGGCCTGGACGGATGTCATGCTCTTGTGTGATGCAGAACTTGTTTTCTCAGTGGTTGTGGTGTGCTGGTCAGTAGCCCTGGAGAGAGTCTTATATACATTTTCCTTAGTTGTGCTCAAAACAGGAGTCACTTTTTTTCGACTAGCTGATAGTCGCAGTTTTGAGATTGTTTCTTGAGACACCGTTCTTGTTTTTAAGGCTTTGTGGGTTTCGGTCCAATCAGTTTGTGGGTCAGATGGCAAAACTGTTGTCCCTGCAGCTGCTATGGATTCCCACAAAGCCTGTAATTCTGTCAATGGGATGGATTCTGCCTTCAACATCTTAGCTGTAGGCGCTGAAGAAATTCCTTGTGCTATTCCATGGCCTAATTGATTAGCCAATGCTTGTGAATGACTGTATGGACGAATCATGGCTTGGGAATTGGAAGGACTGGAGCTGTCAGGAAATGCTGCCTGCAGAAATGAGGTGGGTCGTAGGCTTGTCCTATTTGGTGCCTCTTTATCCAGCATGTTACCAGTGCAAGAAAAAACTGCTGTGCACAGAAAAGAGAGTTAGTCTTGTTTTTAACTAGCTTTCATTATTATGCATGTCCCTGAACTTCTTCATGTACCTCAAGAAAAAAATGAAGTCCTTTCTCCTTAGCCTAAGTTCTTGGTGTACTGTACATTCTGAATTTGCTCACCATTATAGAACTGTAATTATGGAAGGTTTATAATCTTTATTATCACTGCTTTGCAAAGCCTTACTAAGACCACACTTGGAATACTGCATCTAGTTCTGGTCACTGCAACATAAAAAAGATGTTGAGACTTTGGAAAGAGTGCAGAGAAAAGCAACAAAGATGAACAGGAGCCTGGAGACTAAAACATATGAAGAACGATTGCAGGAATTGGGTATGTGTGGTCTAGTGAAAAGAAGGACTAGGGGTGACATGATAGCAGAGTTCCAATATCTCAGGGGCTGCCACAAAGAAGAGGGGGTCAACCTATTCTCCAAAGCGCCTGAAGGCAGGACAAGAAGCAATGGATGGAAACTAATCAAGGAGAGAAGCAACCTAGAACTAAGGAGAAATTTCCTGACAGTGAGAACAATTAACCAGTGGAACAACTTGCCTCCAGACGCTCCATCACTGGAAGTTTTAAGAAATAATTGGACAACCGTTTGTCTGAAATGGTGCTTGAGCAGAGGGTTGGACTAGACCCCTAACGTCTCTTTCATTTCTGTTATTCTGTTAGAGTTTCTGCTACTGAGAGGAAGAAGAGGAGGAGGAGATTGCTTTACAGTTAGCATCTTGAAATCCTTTCAGAATGTCTCAAACATACAGTTTTATGTATGTTTGTACAGTTTTATAATTTCATATTAACTCTATTTCTTTGGGGTATTTGTTTCAATTGCAAAATAGAGTCACACAAGAGTCTTCAATTTCCTGTTTCTCACTCTCCCATCATAGGGTTTTTCCATGAGTTGAAAGCGTTTGCCCGCTCGTTTTTGCACTGAATGAAAAACTACCATGAATATGTGCTGTGCCTATTGCCATTGGCTATCCTGCTGCAATTACACCTATATTTACTCAATGCAAGCCCCTGATTTCTCTCTAAGATTCTGGCTAACCAGCATTAATAGAAGATGCACCAGCTGAGGGTGCCCTGGGACAATATCAAAATAAAAGAAAGCTTTCATGTTGTTACCACTAAAGGCCACCTCAGTTTATTTTGCTCTTAGGGTGGGGATGAGAGGGCAAGTGCACAGGATAAGAACGGTGAGGGTTACCAGAACTTAACTGTGCCATAGTTTGGTCAAGTGGGGCCACAGCCAGTGACCCTTTGCCACGGTGGATTTGATAAATCTTGGATCTAAAATGAGCTCTCTCTTTTGCACCACTTAGGATCCCAAGATTGCTTAAGAACTGCAGCACTCATTACAAAAATCCAAAGAGAGAGAAATGGGTACAGTATGTTGTTCTCGGTCCCAACATCTTTGGTTTAAGTACAGGCAGTCCTCTACTTACGAGCCCAAAATTTCCATTGTTAAATGAGTTTTCTCCCATTTTAGGACCTTTCCAGAGTTTTTAAGCTGTTAAATTAGTAACACGGCTGTGAAGTGCATCTGGCTTCCCCATTGACTTTGCTTGTCAGAAGGTCGCAAAAGGGGATCACATGATCCCGGGACACTACAACCGTCATAAATATGAGCCAGTTGCCAAGCGTCTGAATTATGATTACATGACCACGGGGATGCTGCAACGGTCGTAAGTATGAAAAACAGTCATAAGTCACTTTTTTCAGTGATGGAACTTAGAAGGGTCACTAAACAAATGGGTGCAAGTCAAGAACAAAAGTTTGGATAAAAGTTATTTCACAGCAGATTTTTTTCCCCACCAGTTGTTTACCTTAATCTCTAACAAGCTACTTCCCGGATAGCCAAAACTGAACCTTCACTTGCACGCAAACATAATTCTAACACGGGCAAATAAAGTGTAACATGTAGCCAGCTCTGTAGATGTCTACTCACCTCCAGCTGTGATTAGAAGAAATTCAATTAATGGCTTCCACCGACTCATGATGCAACCACTTTAAAGTGAATTATTGTGGTGGAAGAGGGATTGGATTAATGCCACGTTTTGGTCCTTAAGAAGCCACAATGATCCTAGTGGTTTTTCTTCCCTACTAGGAGGTTCACTCAGCCACTTCTCTGGCGAACAAGAAGTCTACTGTTCCCTGATGAAGAGTTTTGAGCAAAGAGGAAGTAGTGCTCAAGAAGAGTGAAATCTCTGAGTTATATAGGCAGTTGGTAAGTCACATGTGAGAAGGAAAGGGTGGAGAAAAAGCATCTTTGAAACATGTGAGGGTGCTTTTTAAAAAGTTGGTGGAACTGAAATTAAGAGCAAGATTGCAGATGCTATGGCCAGTTAGTTTCACTTTCTTTGAACCTATTTGTTAAAATTCTGCAATAGGCATTTCAATCTGAGCAGAAGAATGGACTCCAAAGACAAATGGATCCATCCAGATGAGCTAGGTCAGGGGTAGGCAATCTTGGCTCTTTTATGACTCATGGACTTCAACTCCCAGAATTCCTGAGCCAGCATGGCTCAGCTTGGAAACCTCTCCCTTTCCCCTCAGCATGGCTGGCTCAGGAATTCTGGGAGTTGAAGTCCATGAGTCATAAAAGAGCCAAGGGTACCTACCCCTGATCTGGGACAGTGTTATTCAACCTTAATCACTTTTAAGATATGTAAATTTCAGTTCCCAAAATTCCCCAGCCAGCATGGCTAGTGAATTCTGGGAGTTGAAGTCCACATATCTTAAAATTGTTAAGATTGAGCAACACTAATCAAGAACCATCTTGCTGATTCTCAGAAGCAGAAAGAAAAGTATAAAAAGCCTTGTGGTATTCCCCATCCCACTCAAATCCTTTGAGATTAGAGGAACCTTCTTTCCAACACTGGTCAATTGAAACCAAGGATGGATTCCTGTATAATTTTAATAATAATAATAAAAATATTCCTTGCCTCTAATCATCGGTGAGGTTATCAAACAGAAAAAAAAAATAACACAACAGCATTAGTTTAGTTTTTAACTAATTACCAGAAACAAGATTTTTTTTTTAAAAAAAGGTATTGACATTTGATTTCATTAATTGTTTGTCTTTACTTAAGAAGTCTTGAATTGTAGAAGGAATAAGATTCATTAATGGCATTCTTCACAGCCGTATTGAAAGAAATATATTTTGCTGGTATAAAAGGCTGCATTTTATCTTGAGAATTTTTTTTTTTAAAAAACTCTCCCAATAGATAAAATTTCTAAAATGGAGAGAAGATAGTTGCCACACACTACCTCTTGTGAACTTGAACAATTTCTGTTGTGCAAATGAGTGTGGCAACATGCGGAAGCTTCCTTTAGTGAAATAATACACCCCAAATTTACATTAAATCTTTCCTAAAACAGTCTTGCCTCCTTGTGAGCAAAATTAGCATTGCATGCAGTTTTAGCACTTTACACTAACTCTACTTCAGGGTTTTTCAACCTTTTCATCCATTGTACCACTTTTAGGATATGACAATATCCGAGTACCACCAGTCGCCTAGCAAGGTGTCAAAAACTTGATGACAAAAAAAAAAAAAGGGAAAAAAGTGATAAAGTACAGGTAGTCCTCGATTTGCAACAGTTCGCTTAGTGACTGTTCGAAGTTACAATGGCACTGAAAAAAGTGCCCCCCAAGGCACAGCTGAGCAAGACACCTGCCTGCCCACCCATCCGCTGAGCCCTGACAGCCCTGCAGCTCCAGCCATCTCTCGCTCAGGCTTGTGCGGTGCTGCCACCGGTTCAGCTCATTCCCCTCCCCCGCTACCACTTTTCTAGGATGGTCGCGTACCACCTGCCAGGTGCCAATGTACCACAGGTGGTACCCGTACCACTGGTTGAAAAGCCCTGCTCTACTTGGTTGATTTCTTTAAAGGCTTCCAAAACTTTGCTCTTGCCATTTCCTTGCTTAACTCACTGAATTTTAGAGGCTATTCATAGTCATTGCCTCCCATTTTTAACATTTATGTATTTCCTAGCAATGCTTCTTTTTATTTATTTCTGATCAGAAAAATCTATTAAGGATAAAAAAAAAGAAATAATCTTTTGACTAGGCTCTTTGTTGTACAGCTTGATATTTAATGTTCATACTTTTGTAGCATGCTAGCTACCGTCATTCCAACATAATAAAAAAGCTGTAATAAACATGTTCTGAGTTTTATTGACTGGACAATAACAAAGGACTAATGTGAGTTTATACTACTGGAGTTACATACAGTAACGTACTCAAGAAGATAATGGTTAGTAATGTAATTCTGATCTAGTCACCTGCTTTGGGTTCTGATATGATTCTTCAATAACTAAAATTATTATTTTTTAAATGGATTGATGTAGTGGCAATGCCAAACACCATTGTTATTGCAAGGAGATTAGTGACAATTTTTACTTCTCCTTCCTGTTAAGAAACTTTTAGATTGCTTGTTTTTCACTTTTGCTTGTTGAATAAAGAGGAAATAACTTTATGTAGTTGCAAACCTGTGAAAATCTCACACCTTAAGT